TTTACCTTAGACGAGGACACCTTGTCCTTTTTAGCTCTGTCTGCGTGGGTGCAGTCATCTGCAGAGTTTTTGGGAACCACTGTTGCGTTTAAGGACCCTGTACTAGGAGATCCAGGTTTATGAGTGAGTCAATTACCGTTGACGTAATGATGGTGCTGAGTTTCGACATGTCATCATTATTGCTATTGCGTGCTCCATCGATGGTAGACTTATCGACATCCCTATTCTTGTTTTCGTTGTGCGCCCTTGTTTATCCACCTATTTTGTGGCTATCTTTTTCCAAGTTTGCTGACAATTTATTCCACAGACATTTCAATAGAACAATGATGTTGCTCAGCAATACTACAGCATCCGTGCTGCACGTACCAAATACCCACATACGATCCGATTTGCTGAGTCTATTGTAAGAAGTTGCCGTGAGATCTGTGCACGTTTCGTGGAACCAACCTTTGCAGTTGTCGCACTGCATGCCAGATGTAACAGCGAAACGGCATCCAGGTCCTTTGCATGAATTTTTCATAACTGTATAGACGTACGCCGTGTTAAAAATGGTATCAAAAGCTTAAGACAGTTAAAAATACACTAAAAAGCACACTAAAAACGGGAAAAATGGATAAAACGGATGAGATAAAATGAACTAGTCTGTACGTGAAAAAATGAAGAAAAAACCGAGTAGTAAGCTGAGGCAAAACCACAGTTAAATATTAAATTGAGCGAAACTCAAAAAAGTAATTTACCGAACTTATAGCTGGGGATAGATTCTTTAGATCAGAAATGGTACTTTTGTTGCGTAAGAACACAGCAAAAGTTTGAGAAATTCAAACCACGTTAGGACTAAACTTCACGTTTGAAAAGCGCGCGGTCAAAGTCATGAACTTTCTCAGTAGATCAATCAAACTGCCAATTCTTTTTAGTTTGTAATTGAAATCAACAAAATAGCCCAAACCAATAAGCAATTTTAACTTGCGTTTTAATCCTAGAAAAGTCTAAATAAATGAAATATTCCTTAGTAATTAATGGACTGACTGCAAAGTAGCACTGAATGTTATCTCGCTCATTGACATCGGTCCGCTACGTGTCTTCAGTATGATCTTTGCAAACACGGTCCAATCCTTTCTCAAAGTGACAGATTTTTGATTAATCAACCAGATCTTTACTAAGGCCAGTTCTTTTATTATCGTTTTCAGCTTTGTAATAAATTGATATGAGCACATTAAGGTCTGGAAATTATATGCAAATATCACTTGAAAGAACAAGGTACCAATTTATCATCAAAACAGACATATATGACTTCCACACTTTCTGACATGCCGAAATTTAATTTAATCCAAACTATCTAAATACTTTATCATGGTAGTTTGACGTAGCTGATGCTGACAACCTGTGTGAATGTTTAGTAAGCCTAATGTGGTTATTTGTAACATTGCAAAGTCAGGCTAATGAAATTCACCATTTATCATGTCAAAAATTGACTGAAACCAATTGCACTTTATTCAGTCCTCAGTAATAAGTATAGTAGGTTGGTGAACCTGGGGTGAATTTATTCGCAACGCAACCATGTAAACTTAATGTATCGCCCGGAGTCATCTGTGCGTTCACGTAACCACAGATTTTGTCATTTCATAATGTATTTTTAATTAAATAACTAGATTACGTTGATAATTTTGCTCTGGTTATAATTTTTATTCTCCACGTCCGACTGTGTTACACTGTACATTCATTGCACGCTGGAGTGATATCCCAAGTCAAAGTGAGTTTAATCTATTAGTTGATTGTTTACAGATAGACCGTCATTGCATAATGTTACTGAAGGAAGGTTTGTTGAACTGTAAAACCCAGAAAAAATCGCTGATTCGAAATAAATTTCACACCAACATACAGAACATTACACTCATTGCGGCATTTTAGCACACCGAAACATTAAATTACATAGCTACAAAAAAGAAATAGCTGAAAGAAGCATAGAACGAAGAAAGACGACCGCCATTGCTTACAAAGATGGAGAATATAATGATTTCCGCCTCATTCTGATTGGTCACTAAGCTGAAGGGCACATTTACGAAATTGAGTTGCGTTTATTTGCAGCCTGAACCTGTGTTAATCCTGACAGACTGCCTTCCAGTGAAGGTCCACCTTCTCCTTAAAAATATTCACTGATGTAGCTGGTACCACTTGCTCGGGTAGGGCGTTTCAGTCGTTGAACACTCAATGGGGAGAAACGGGACCCCATTTTAAGTTTATTAGATCACGGTTTGTGAGCCTTCTTACTTTGACCTCGGAGATTGGTAATACTGGAGGGGGGCAAAGATATAAGACATATCAACACCCAAATCATATTGAAAGATATGAAGTGCCAGCATAGGGTTACCTTGCGTCCTACAATACGACAAGGTGGGAAGGTTTAGGCGTTTTAAGCGCTCATCGTAAGAGAGGTTAGAAAGACCCTTCACAAATTTTGTTCTCATACGCTGAACATGCTCAAGTGAAAATACAAAGAGTTTATGGGAAATATGTCGAAAACGCAGACCTTTGTTATGGATTTCTCACAGCTAAAATCGAGACTGCCCGTGTTACACACGATAATCCAAATATTATTTTGTGCGCCTTTCAGGTATGTCGCGCTTTCCGTAAAAGGTACAATAATCGTGATTTAAATGAAATTGCCTTTAGACTCGCGACAAAATATTGAGAACGTACCTCAGTATATTGGTAGATTTAATCAACATTTCAAAATTATTAACCAAAGAGACAGACAAGTAGACCAGTATCTTCACCTTTTTTGGGTGTCACGTAAAAGTATGTGGGCGTTAGCGTTTTGTGGAAGTGTGCTGATTGAGCAACAACAATAATCGTGTTGAATCACTTAATCACCAAATAAAAAAGTATGTGCGCAAAACGGTCAATTTGCACAATTGTATATACTAAGTTTCCAAATGGAGTGCAATAACATCGTCTAGGAAAAGTATTGAGGATACATTAACGGCCGGAAAATGCTGTATTACGCTGGCTTATGCGCGTTTAGGTTGCGTTTGGTACCAAAACCCGCAATTATAGATGATTAACGATTGCAATAAGATTGTTGTGCTTCCAGTAATATAGCCAAACATATAGCATAATTTAAATATGGCTGCAGTCTATAAATGTAAACAGTAGATGATTTAAAGTTCAGTTATCTCAACCACGAGCAATAGAGAACGAGAGGTGTGTGTATACGGGTGTAATTGCGAGCAGTTAACATCGTGTGTCATGCTATGCGTGTAACACAACGGGAGAAAGTGTGTTCAAGGTCATACACTTAAACAACATGTGCAATCATTTCGTGGTAAGTGTTCAGACTGTAAGAATTAACAAACTAAATGCTAACAATATCAAATAATATTCACAAAATAAGTTTGTCATGCCTATCTCCACAAACTTTTACAGTTAACCTTAATCAATTACTGCACATAAACTGTATTGCACATCAACTTAAGCATTTCAGTAGATTGAAGTTAAATAATACGCACAACTTCCAAAATAACAACAATGTCATTACTCAGACGGAGTGAAGAGCATATACGAATTCCACGACGCTGAAGAATGTACAGACAACACATCGAGAAATATGGTGAACAATTCGCGATTCAAGTTGGGAGAAATGTCAACCACTTTTACTTTGGAATTATCAATAACTAGACAAGACAGCAGTTTCTCAAGCGCTCATCAAGAATGCGATTCGCAATCTAACAAATTGCGAAGACGTTTTTATGATAAAAAGTTCTTCGTGGTTTTATTTCTGACTTCACCATATATACAACTTGTAGACTTATTTCTCTGTTTCAGTAGTAATGATGAATCAATAGACTTTTGCACAATTTCTATTTCCTTCGTACTTTCATAAGGAGTTATACCAATAATGTCAACGAGTAACTATTTGTGACAATTAAGAACAAATTAGTGTTTGCTTTATCAGTACCCGTTCTCTTACGATAAATTGCAGTACTGCATCAGTCTTGAAGTTTCGCTAGAACGTTGCGTTATATATATGAATTTCTTCACTATAACAGTATATTCTGGTCGATATTTAATACTATTCACATTGAATATATTATTCTATACCCAGCATAAATGTGTTCTTCATAAGTACATGCAGTTGCTCTCTTTTTATCTTGTTTCTGAAAGCACATTGTGTGTATTTGCTCGAATATAACACGTATCGCTGCTAAGTGTTACAAAAATATTACTGAAAATCGGTTGGAAATGGCGAACAAGTAAATCAATGAACGACAATAGAATAGTTATATATATATATATATATATACATATATATATCATTGTAGGCTTTTTCGAAAAGCCTAGAAAATTTCTCTGAAAAAACCCACTGGAAGTGCTGAAAATCGTCTTATCCAACCAGCGTTGAATAAGAATTTCTCAAAAGCATCCAGAAAGCAGGTAACATGTCGCATTTCTAATTGGATGATTAGTAGGTCACCAGAAACCCAAGGCATTTGAAAAGCCGTAAATACCTTCAATTTTAAAGCGTTCTTTTCAAGTTGACATGTAGATTTAGCCTGGTGGCTACTAGAAGAGCTTAGGAAACCGAATCAAGCGTTCACTTAGATTTATCAATATCATCATACCCGTATAAGTATTCGTACAGTAGAATCGCCTTATCTAAACGACTGCTGATCTAAGTAGTTTTTGACTTCATATATGCTAGGAGATTTACATTATACGTCAAATCATTGAAAAGGATGAATCGGTTATGCCAGCATTTAGACACTGTTGAAATGTTCTGTTCTTACCAACTCATCCCACCTATGTTTGCACACCCATTAATCTATAACTACTGGTCGGAAGAAACCCCAACAGACATTTGGATACCAGTTCAGCTGTGCCGTAATTTGCCCCTTAAAGCGACCACAAGTAACAGGACGTCGAGCTGTGCACAGTATAACATACGATATTATTAATACTTTTCCTTATTTAGAACCCTGAATATGTTAGATTGATTCATAAATGCTTTTCAAAATAGAGATTTCATTTGGTAGATGTACTGTATATCACTGAATAAAAATCAGACCTTTATGTCTTTATTTATGATCTATACAATTGATCTGTAATGTAACATAGTGACCCAGTTATTAGGAGGTCTCTTTATTTTCATTAGAAATGTCTTGTTGTGGTATACCAGTTGATGAACAAGTAGGACTAGTCGTGGTCGTGGAAGTGCCAATGTTGTTGCTGAACGTTGTAGCCGATGAAGCTGTATTAGTGTTCTCCATATTTAAAATAAGTCTATGAAGAGTGGTCGCTTCCCGAGCTTTAGTAAATTCTAAACAAAATGTCCTCACTTCGATTAAGATATCCTGAAAAGTAAGAATACAAAGTAAGTATACCGAAAGTCAAGTATTTGTGAATCAAATGTGAATCCAGTTACACTGTTGCAACTGGTTTAAAGATTCAACAAAGCTTTTTCAACGTAGAGATTGACTTAATTTGATGTCTACAAAACCAACGATGACAATCCACAGATATGTTGAGACCTGTATTGTTTTCGATTCCAGTAAACAGTTTAATGTTATTTAGATATATGACCATTTTTATATTAAAAGTCGCTCAATGAATTGCGTTAGTAGCCTAAAACCCAGTTTGCAAACGTAGTTTGATTCGAACTTATCAGATATAGTGTAATTAGCTCATAGTTTACATTTTTGACGTGTGAATTGTGTGATAGTATTAGGTCCCCTGGATTTTTCAAAACACCAACAAATACGATAAATCATCTCAGAACTTTAATCTTATTCCATCTTGAATTAAGCTACCAAATACGATTGATTTAAGGTATTTGACCGTGTGGCATCATAGGGTCGATAACATAAAACCAACAGCTTGGGATAAAAATTTTGGTTAACATAAGATAATTAGCTTTGCCTCTTCATTTCTTGACGTGAAACCGAATGCTGTAGACTAGCTACTCACAACCGATGTTTTTATTTTAATCCCACATCCAATATTTTACACAATGTGAAACTTATTTGTCATAAGTATGCATGTACGTACAAAATAAAGACAAATCGATGGGATAAGAAGAATTTCAGGGAACTGGATAATCAAGTTTAGTGATACAGTAGTTTCACAACATTCAAAGGATAAAATGCATAATCCAGTCCTCTTAACTTAATTCACTTAGTCCAATAACTTCAGACATGCTGCCGTTTACATATAAGTAGATATTAATCAAGACTCAATTACTTCTCAGTATTATGAAATCTTAGAAGCAGCAAAAAATATCAGTTTGTCTGAAAATATAATCCAATTCCTTTATCACATAAAACATCAGTCACTAATAAACACCGAAATATCACCTTCATTACTTTCTATTAAATAAATATAAACATTTGACATCACTGAATTTAATTCGATTTTATAAATTAACAACAATTAGAATTTAAACAGAAACTCTACCTGATTATGAATATCCAATATGTTATTCCTGATAAGTGATTGAAGTAGTACACATACTAAACGAACATGTCTCATTTGATAAAATTTATCATTTACTGAATAACAAAATGCTAAACAATTCGATATATAATCTTGTATAAATTCTGTAGGTAATGCAATTTTTGTAGATAGTCGATTTACCACTTCAATTGACTGTACAGTAACTTCCATTTTTAGCAGAGCATTTAAGTACCTTTATTTATTTTCAATAGAAAAATTACAATAATTATTTGCAATCAAAATAAAGAGGTTTATGTTCTGTCCAAATTTAATAAGTCAAGAAACGGAAAAAAAGATTCACAAAACAAATAGTAATATTAACAGAGAACATTTAAAATGAGTGGTAGTGATCTATAGATATTGATATTGTATTATCCCAACAAAGTCATTACAAATGTCGTGTGAACCAATCGTTGGTCACCGGTTACCATGGGACTGTATCTCCTTACGATGCTCTACAGCCTTGTGGATCAGATCTTTACGTCGAAGGCTCCGGATGTGGCCCCCTAAAAAAACCACCTGATTCGGTTTGGGCACCCTGGCACTATCACAGCCCTCACACAAATCAAATGAGATTTGTGTGGAGCATATGTATCTGGTGCCGCCTTGTACCAATATCTATGTGTTCAAATAAGTAAATAATAATAAATATTACCGGGTATATTTTCACAGGGTTTCCCAACAAACGCATAAAGACAAAAAACTGATACGGAATACACAAGACATTACTTACATAATCGCTTAGTTGAATTTGAATTCAAAGGATGAGAAAAAGTGCATCGTGAACACAGTTCACATGTCTTTCAATTACATAACTCCTAGATGACGAACAATAACTAAACTTTACATTTAACAATTACACTATAATAGGCATCGAAAAGATGAAAGGCTGAAACAATACTAGTGAGTTATGACTTAGTGTATTCAGATGGTTGACAGTGTAGTCTTAGGGTAATCTCCAGATGTACGAATGCATTCAAGCAGATATTTAAGCAACGCAAGGGCAAAATTCAGGGTAGAAAGAAACTATTTAGAAAAGTTTTAGTGTATGATACCACATCAAGCCCGTAAGAGAGGCCAAATATATCAAATAAGCTAATCGTTTCGCATGATGTATCATCACTTTCTACCAATACCCCCATTGAAAGAAACAATTGGCATCATTACAAAACATTTATAACTTATATCCGTATCATAAATACAGCTCAAACAGTTGTCACAACTATGCAGAAAGAATGTCTAGTTCAAATTAAACAATAAATTATACTGTCAAGCAGATGGAGTGATGATGGGCAATCCTTTGGTACCTGTTCTTGCCAACATGTTGCGAATTTGGAAAGAACAAAATTACTTACTGTCACCAACAAGAATACACACTGTGCAAGGTACGTCAACGATACTTTTGTTTTATGCAACGACGTAAATTACGCAAACAATATACTTGAATTTTTTTAAGAAGGTTCATACTAATATTAAACTGAAAGCTGAAGATGAAATAAATAGTGCGCTCCAGAAGAAATGACGGAACTTGTCAAAAGCGATCTACAGTGAGCAACACCTAAACTCTAGCAGCTTAGGCCCTGTTGGCTATAAATATGGGTTAGTGAGAACGTCTCGCTCACCAGAAAAACTCGAGAGGGAGTATACAATAAAAACTGATTGTGTGTAAGAGAATGGATACCTTCATTCAAATTATAATCAACTATAGTACTGATTACCGAAGTAAGACGGAAGAATATACACCTACTAAGAATGTTTTTATTTGACCGTCACTGAAAGGTGATCAAATAACGGATAAAGATAATCAAGGACTAAAAGAAGCTTTAAAAATCGCATTCCGCACGGCGAAATTGACTCCACTAGACAGCGAACTATGTTAAATAACGCAAAAAAATTGATAAATATCCATCATGTGTTCAGTCAGTCAGCTGCAACGTAGGACCAGGCACGTATATGCATCGGTCCAAGTTGCCATACCGCATTAGCACAAGATGAACACCGGACTCATAAAAGTAGTTAATTCAGTGGTGGTAATATATAGAAGAAAGATTGTGTATAAGAAGATAGTACAGGAAGAAAGAATTAGTTCCTAGAAAGAAAGATTTGATGTGATTTTAATCTCTTAATTTAAAGGAAGACAGAGAGTGTATACACCGACGCCATTGTGATCGATTCTGAGCCATGTCACCAAGAGTCTCCAACCATTGGTTACGATAGTCACGCGGACCCCAAAACCAGGCAGTCTGAATCTTCCAACATGACTCAGCCCAGAAGTTAGTGACTACATGTACTGATGCGACGTTTTGGTTTGGCCGCCAAACTTCAAACTGAATATAATCATTCATATGTGCATGCAAACGCCCGTATATCAGAATAGATAGAAAGACAGGTTTCTACTCGTTTTAATGAGTATGTTCCAAAGAATCTGCGAGTTCGGGTAGAAGGTTGCTTACGAAGTTCAACAGCACGTCAACCACTAGGCACGGAGTACAATGTGGATTTAATGAATTATTAATAAACAATCTAATTCCACACTATTGAAATTCGCAGGTCATAGAAATTAGAAGATTTATATCTGATCTTTATATTTCAAAAGAGTCAGTCTTTAACCTCCAACTGTCATAGTAATACTTTGACCCTTTTCTCAACTAATTGTAATCATAATCTAGTGAGTTGACCTTACACATCTAGTTTTCCTTTCTAAACTTAAAAAACATATCAACCAATAAGAATTGTCTTAACATTCCAGAAGTATTATGTTAAGAAGTTATGGAAAGATGCCAGTTTTAAGAATTTAACTCTCAAATTCTTTCACATTAAATACAAATTACTCATTATTGATTGACAATCCAGTTTTATTATTATGTTATCAACTGGGAATAATTAAACATATTAGCCTGTATGTAAGCTGAAGGGAGTTTGGTCAGTTTTAGTCCTCCACAAAAACAAGCCATTATATATTTAACTGTTGGATTAAGTTCCTTGAACAAAAATATAGGCTAAGCACATTGCCAAAAAAACATAACAGTTCTTGTGATCATAAGACATTTTCCCCAATTAACACACCAATTAACAACGGACTATGAAGAGAAGGATATCGAAATAGAATTGCGAACATAAAAATCGGATAAGAAACACTAAACAAAGGAGAATTACAATTGAATACATACGCACAAACAAACAAATCATAAAGGACTTACTCATCTCGTTTCGGTGATGTAATCAACAATTGTAAAACTTCAATAGCGATAACTGGGTTACGGTTAACGAAATTCGGTACCTTTAAAGATTCAGTGGTTTTATGGCACAGTGGAAAAATAACGAAGAACAAGCAGCAATATTACAATAATATGATTATAAAACCACTCATTAAATCAATGAAGAAGTTTGTACGCTAAGACTTTATGAGCATCCCTACCAGCCGTACCCGTCATAGAGAATTAAAGATACAAAACGTAATATAATTACATCTAACTGTTTAGTAAAGTTGAATAGTGGCTAACAATGAAATTCAGGATGGGAATTTCATCCTATTTGAGACTAGTCAACTGGGTGAGGCCTACATCTCAGTGTTGATATTCACAACGAGACTCAAACGAAACAAATGATGATTTAAACGACGTGTTGTCTATTTAGTGATTTCCACAAAATCCACTCAGAATGCGTTAAGGATGCTAGATCTCCAGAAATCATTTGGTAAACATCGTATTTTGGAAATTTGAATTCCCCATTTCCGCACCACAAGAGCCCATTTTTACCTTCAGATTGTATTTCGCACTTGAAAGGACTTTAAATGTCATTGGTCCGTTTCCTCTTCTAATACGCTATTTTATGACATTTCCCAAGGACCTTTTTATACTGTATATATACACGCTTGAGTTGTGTGCTTGGTTTGTTTGTGCTTATGACTGCTTGTGGAGTATACTTTCTCTCAGCTGAACCTGGTCTATTCCGCCCAGTTGACACGGCTGGGAGGCATTAGAATAGTTTGGCTTGTCCTGTTGTATTTCAGACCTTCGTTCTGTTTGCCGTTTTTTAGATGATGTCGCAATCTCCTCAAACATGGTACAATGCACATATACCAAGATAGACTGATCAATCGGAGTCGTTAATATCAATAAATGAAAAATAAAAACTTGCAAACATGACATGTGGTGTTTATTCTGATAGTAAACTATGACAAAAATGGTTGTTAAAACACGGAGAGTGATTTCAAGAGCAAATTTCAAAGTAAATATACATGTTGCTCATTTTATTTTGATAAAAAAGTTTACCTAGCAAAATATTCTCTATCGTTTAGATATCAAATATCAATAATGAATAGATGATAGCTATAAATGGTAGTAAAGACCTAAGGAGTAGGAAAAAATGAATCAGTACAATACATATAAAATACATGAAGTACGTTCAACTATTATTATATTTGTTTAACTGAATTATCCATTTATCCCTATCGATAAATATGTTTATTTAAACTAATGTGCAAATGTAACAAATCTTAGGAATAAATTTCTATCTTTGTTGCAGTTACCGTTAGCAGTTAAGTAAACACAGTTGTCATACTTAATTTGTGCAAATTATGGATGTTACTTGATTATTTAGAACAGTCATAATAGTGAAATTCGGAATAACAACACAGTAATAGTTGAAAGTCAACAGATTAAACTATTGAATATTTTAACCTGAGAAACTCGAACTGTGATAAACACGTAGGTATCATTGCCAAGATTTTATTTAATAATTTCGAATAAACACAAGTATGCTCTCTATTGATCATTTGAAAACTAAGTTAAATATACAATCAATCAACTCTAGGTAGTAGAAAATATGGATTAGTATGATAAACTTACAATCTCTGGAGTTATACCAACATTATAGATAACATCTGGATTATCCTTAATTGCCTGAACAACAGTTTGTTGCTGCGACTGGGTTAAAGTGGATGTCATGGCTGCGGAAACCAAATGACGAAGCTAATGTTAAAAGACAAGAAACATAATTTACGAAGATTATAAAATACAAATATCAGAAATACATATATTCGATATTAACCGCTTGATAAAGTACAATTTACAATGAAGCAGACTAATTTCGACAAGATCGCTATTCTATGAAGTTACAAGTATGTAGGCCGTTAGTTTTGTTTAAGTGAAGTGACTGATCCTATGTGATCGATAATATTATGTCAATCCAGTATATATATCATGGATCATTACATGGAAATATTTGAAATGTGTAAAAGGGTATAAATCTGAGACTGACGTCTATAAATCATCAACAAATCACAAGGAACCTATACAGAGTATAGTATTTAGTCAATTAAACAATCCTCCAGTATGACGAGTATTATTAGATGCCTAAGAAATGTCCTAAACTTTGAAACCCAACCATCTTTGTGTGAACTCATACGTAATAAAATTCATGTATACTACTACTTTAAGTAACTGAAGTTAGTAGGTCATGAAGCCAATCATGCGAACAATCAGAAATTCCTCTATTTTAAACTCTTTCATATAAAGAATTATTTCCTTCATCTAAGTCTGAATTTTTACGATCTACATTACAATCTATAAACCAATATCCCAGATTATATCTAACTCTCAATTACAAATGGTATCAGCGCTTTAGAAATTATAGCCCATCTTCTGATTTTACACATATCACTGCTATCACAGAAGACTCATTCAATCATCTTTATAATTCATAGATTTCACTATAACTTGTTCCCAGTGATCTCAAATGTAAGTACTGAAATAAATGCATCTGAGAATTTTAGTGATTCACAAGGTCTATTATCTTACTCTAATATCACCAAAAATATTTGGTAAATAAAGTCCCAGAAAAAACCCTGAAAGTCTAAGAAAAATCTGTTTGAAAGTTATTTTATAAAAACTGGTAAAAACACCATTATAGCAGATTATTAAACTTGAATGAAAAATACTCATATACATTTAACAAAAATTAATCCATTAAGTAATTGACATAATATGCTAAGTTGTATAAAAAGTTTTAACTATAAATTCACCTCAACTGTTATGTCAACAAGTTCCATACTGTTATTCCAATGGAAATCGTGCTCAACAATGTCTGGATTAAGCCAAATAAGTTCTTCTGACCAGCCATAAGTGGGTTTAGACTTCTTGATAGATCTTTTCTCTGAAGGACTAAAGTTGGAAACTGTACGACTGATGGATTCATTTTCTTCATCTAAACTGTATAAAATCTCATCAATTCCTTGGGGGCACGGTAACAAAGGTGGGGAAATACGAAGAAACTCTGGGAAGACATTATTGCGACCTATTAACAGTTCACTACGTAACAAAAGAGCATCTAAACATTGACGTTGTAATTCAGATGTACCACAGGAATCGTCTGTGTTATATAAGTGAAATGATGGCCTACAATAAAAATATAACATGAAATTCAGAGAATTCTCAGTTAATTTATTACCAAGTTATATATATACAGGACAAGTTATTTTTATGTAATTTCTGTTATCAGGTTATTGTTGAACAGACATCTAAAATACATTCACTGGTTGAAAGAAATATAAAACATTACATCATTATGAAGTCTGAGTTTGTAAATATCACCCAAATTACTAGAGATATGAGTTTTTCCAAGTTTCAAAAGGGGGGGGTTGGAATACTAGAGCAAATAAACTTACTCAAAAGAACGTGGAATATCTTCGTCAGGAACAATACAAACCATTCCAGAGTCAGCCACCTTCGAAACACGGCCAGATGATTTCAGCGAATTGGCTACTGGAACCAGATCCCAGTCAAGCTACATTGGATGACAAGGAATAAACTAGAGATATAATGGTTTTCTAAATAACTTCCATTAAAAAATAGACAGCAAAACAGATACATATTCACACTCACTCTAATATCGGTCGAAGGATACGGTAAATCAAATAACTGTGCTGGAGTATACTTTAGAAACTGTTCGTAAAAAGGATAAATTTTGAAGCATATTAATAAAAAAAACTGCCACATACATCATGAATTTGATCAGGTTGACGAAGAATTGTATGAAACATTGAAATTGCAGATCGCGGCAACTTGCAATGCACTTCATCCTGCTAAATTTTGCACACAATTAAGGAATATATATACGAAACAAACTAACCATAAACGAAATTAAAAACTCTGTGAATGGATTATTATTGATGGAAGAGTTATCTGATTTCCACAAATCCCATAATAAATAAACAGCTGCAAAATGTATTATTGCATCATGAAAGAAGTCATTTTGAAGGAGAAACATCTAGAAAGAGCAGACAATTAATACTTAAAGTGTATTAACTAACTAAAACACGGCATAGTTTATATCGATCTGATTTAGCGAATTGCTGTTGCGCTGCGCTACTAATACCTTGTAGTGTTTGACGAGAAATCCGATCGGGATGAAGAAAGCTATCAAAACAAGGAAAGGAAACAATATTTTAAATGTTTTTTATCAATTGTTGTTATTCTCATGTTTCGAAAATAAAGATTTACTCTAGTAGGGACAACAAAAAATGTACTGCATGAAGTGATGCGACGACATTTGAAAGGATGAGTACGATAGGAAATCTGTTGATCGCATGGAGAAAAGGATAAAGTTTTCTGAAGGAAAAATGATACCTTAGAGTTTGTCATAATATCCAAGTAGGTAAGAAAAGAGAACCACCAAATAGAAATTGGTAACTTTCGTTCCGTGGCATTTAACAATGGGTGTCACATGGTGTTTCAAACAATATTTAGGGTTGTGTGGCACACAAATGAATACCAAAACATCACGAATAACCTTTAATTCATATAGCTGGGTTTCACTGTTTATAATGTACTAAAGACTGTGCTTACAATAATATTGATTCCTTGTCAATGACTAAACCTCTTGGTGAATCGAACAAATCTCAGACAAAACCGCATATGTAAGTTACTAAACTCTACAACATCATACAAAGGGAAAACAGACAGAAACATGGGGACAAAGCAGGACATTTGTTGCAAATGGAAGATAAACAAGTAGAAGGACGACCACAAATTAGTGAAGGGTAAAGACAAATTAACGATCTAGTTCACGTTCGATGTCCGTCAGTAAAAAACAATAAGTGTGCGTTTCAGTCTCATTAATTCTGCCTTATGCTCGTGAAACAGACTCTTCGAGTTAAGGATGATAAGGAAACGTACTGTAAATGAAAATGAAACCTCTCGTCAATTTACTATTCAGACATCTATGCTGAATCTTTTTGTCGACATTATAACTTTGTTTTATTACGGAAAATATATATGGTAGTCTAAAAACGTGATTTTATTTGACCAGAAGCAGCATCCAGATCTAAAAGTCGAAGCTGTTGATTTACACAAATGCAAGACTTACTTTGATAATGCAATCACGTCCTTGTTACTGATTGACATTCAAAAATATTTCATTCAATAACCGGGTCTGATTTTTCTTTAAAATAAAATAAAATTATTAACGTCAAAACAGGAAACAGAAACTGAAGCATCACTTGCATCGCATATTTCATACGACGCAGTGCAGAAATGATACAATTAGGTCCTTTTTATGCGACATTACTTTATTTGGATACGTTTTTAAGTTTTGAAGCCATGAACTAATCCTTAGACAACCCCCACTGGTCATTACAGAGTGGAAAAAGGCTAAGAACAGACAAATAAATACAAACCCACATTGTTCATCAAGACAGAAGCAACCAGAGTGAATAATGTTTATTTACCTGCTTTCCAAACAGTGATCTGGAGAGAATTACCAGTCACACGGTAACTACCAAAAGTTACGAGACTCTTTAATCAATATGTAGAGTTTTTACCCGCCTAGATGTTAATATATTCGTGAAATTGAATGCAGTGCCCATTAGACCGCAACTCAAGCATTCTACACAAACACCCATATCCTGTCCAGAAAATAGTGGATTGCTGTTGTGAATTGAGATTAGATTCGGTATTTTCTGATTACGAACCATTGGAAGGTTTTTTCAATACACGACGGGATCTACACGAACTGAGTAGATTGTACGACTAATACATATAACACTTCAACAACCATCCCATAACTGAGTGGAAAACAGAAAAGTTTTTTGAGGAAGGTGTATTGATGAAGACTGAAGAAAATCAGATTACATCCAGGTTTACCCAATTATGTACCGACTATTTAATGATTATTTATCATAAAGTTTATTAAACTGAGTAGTTATCACTTCTCACAAAATCAGTGGTCCGGAATAAAATAAAGATAAATTAAAACCAATTAACTAATATCATACTGAATATATGATTTTAAAATTGATTTTTTTCCGTGATAGTTGGAGACACATCATCACCAAGAGCCATTAGAAAACGTTGATTTCTGGGATTTTAAAGCTGTCGTACAGTGAGACTTTAACTTTGAATTTTTTACTTTAATAAACACATAAATAGTGGTACAAGGAGGCACCAAATATATATGCGCCACACATATCTCATTTGATATGTGTGAGGGATGTGATACTGCCCGGGTGCCCAGACTGAAGCAGGTACAGTGAGACTGGGTAAACTAAACTTGTTTATTTTGTCGAAGGACTAGATAAAACCTAGTTATAGTTCTGAATTCACTGAACAATATCTTAGCATTTGACAAATGCTATTTGATCACAGGTATGTTAGAAATATTGCTCGCATCATAATTTTACTGAATGTAGTTTCTTCAACCACCATGTTAGAGTTTAAATGGTTTAAGTGAGTCTTTTGGTTAGCACTTTTTTAGCAAGGTTGTGTTCCTATGGATGGCGTTTTTGACCTCTGACCCAACCCTTTCCGTTTATCTGTCGTTGGGTTTAGCATTAACCCTAGAAGGGCTACAGGCAGAGTTACGTCATTATGTGCGTTGAAGGATTTGGAGAAAACCAAGAGACTTTCCATCATGGTTCAGTAATGAGCTTCGTACCCCTCTCTGCAAAAGGAAAAATAATGTGTGTGAAAACTATGTTATGTGTTACGTATGCCTAAACACTGATTACCGCGACGTGCAATGCTGACTAGTGTTGGAGATGATTGGAAGAAAGTTAGGGGCGGCGAAACCAAAATGTGGCATCAGTTATTGAAGTCACTAACTTTCAGTTTGAGTCATGTTGGTGGATGAAAACTACTTGGTTGGGGTCGTAACCAATGGTTGAAGACTCTGGGTGATATAGCTCAGAACCGATCACAATGGCGTAGGTGTATACACTCGTTGTTTTCCTTTAAACCATGAGATTAAAATGGCTTTATACCTTTCTTTCTACAAACTAATTCTGTCTTCCTGTATTATATCCTTATACGCAATCTTTCTTTTATATATTGCTACCATTGAAGTGACTACTTCTATGAATTTGATGTCCATCTTGTTGTGATAATGAAGTGTGGCAAGTTACACTGATGCATATATGTTTCTGGTCCTATGATGTAGATGACTGACTAGCATCTGTCATGTCCTTATTTTACTTGTCATCCAGAACAAAAAACCAATAAGAACACTTCTAAAGAGTTCATAAAAGTAAAACTACTTACTTTTTATCTGCTTACTTACTTTTCGTTGAAGCATCAAGTAAAGCTCTGTCTAAACACGTTTTCATAGCCACAGTTATCCATGCATTCAGTACCAGTGGCAACAGGAAAGATTAGGTATTGAAGGTACCATTCGAGACAATATGAATTGGTGAAATGAAGACAAAAAATTAACGAACTCATAATCTGGAAGAAGACAAAGAATGGACAAACTTATACTATTGCAAATGACTTCGAGCCGTGTCATGGAATTCCTTAACGATTGGTTACGATCACCACGTGGACCTCAACCAGGAAGTCTAAACCTATTAACACGGCCCAGGTCGATTATTAGTGACTTCATGGACTGATGTCATGTTCTGGTTTGGCCGCACCTTGTTTCCTCTCAGCCTACTCCTACACCAGAAAACACCGACTGTCGAGGTAAGCAGTGTTCGGGGATACGTATTAACAGCACTTGTTTTATTTAGTCAATCTGAGATAGTTTGCCCAGGAATACTTTTAAAAAATGCAACAGCATATATAATCTCTTGCAGTGCATGTCATCATGAAGATTTACAAAGAATAAGTTATTTAATTTAGGATGTACAATAATTTATTACCTCCCTCACTGGATATTTTCAAAGGTTGACGTGAGCCAGGCGAACCACTGCTGTAACTTAAAAGATAACACATATCAGGTACCCATAAACGGAGTACTATAACTGAAGGAACTCGATAATTTGCGAAGATCAGTATGACCGACCTTAACCCTGTAGCGTCGAACGACCTTGAGGGGTTAAAAATAAGGAAAGACACTCCAAATGGTTCAAGTGGTTGTGAACGTAATAGAAAAAGCATTCGCTTATCGGGATTCCTTGTCTTGCAGCAGTGAAGCACCAATACCTTCAGGCAGGAACCTAGGTATATTAACGATAAAAAGGGATAAAGAAATCGGTAATTTATAGTAAGATACTATCCTTAGTCCTTAAGAATAAAACAAGTTTTCTCTTAAAAGACTCCTAGGAAGTCGCTTAGGATATCTCAACCGGCAAAGAATTCCAGGATTTAACAAATCTTAAGGAGTAGAAATTGTATCTACAATACTTTATGCTGTGTTGTGTTTGTAGTTTCTGGGTGTAACCCCTAAGTTTTGTGTTAGAGCTAAGCTTAATTAGGTGTCTAAAGGGGTGCCCAAAAGTTTTTAGGATGCTATAAATCATTCGAAAGTTACTTTTATGACTCCTGTACTTTAGTGAGTAAAGGTTCAGTGATTGGAGGCGCTCTTCTTCAGATTTGAATTTGAGTGCTCGAAGTGATTTCGTTACTCGTCGTTTGATACGTTCCACGGTGTCCTTATCCTTTTGGAGTGATGGAGAAAACACTATGTTCTCATACTCTAAAAAGGGTCGAATTAAACTTTTGAAGATAATTTGGAATGTTCTTCCGTCGAACCGGCTGAAAATGCGCTTCAATGTTACCAGTGCAAGGCTTACTCGAAAAAAATTCTCGTCGCAGTTCCTAAAGTACCACCACCCCTACATCTTTTTTAACATGGGACACCTTCGAAGAGGAGTTATCTAAGTTTTATTCGTAGTCTGTAACATGTATCAGATGGATTACTCTACACTTTGAAGTGTTAAAGTTTAGTTCGTTGTTGTTTGCCAAACTTTGAAGTCGAGTCAGATCCTCCTGAAGTGCCACTTTATCCTCTTGGTTGCATACTTCTCTCCAGAGTTTCTCATCATCAGCAAAAAGTAATAAATCTGACGATAGCTGCCATGGGAGACCTTTATATAAATCAAGAAAGGAAGAGGTCCTGACACTGAGCCCTAAGGGATCCCACTAGGACACTCCATAGACTGAAAGTGAAGTTAGCCCTGACCTTAAAATGCTGATTTTAAGATGTGAAGTGGACCAACCAATTAAGGGTGATTTGATACCTAATAGTTTGGGCTTATTGACAAGACATATTATCAACCCTATCAAAAGGTTTTGAGAAATCAAGATATGTGACGCCAATCTTCATCTTGTGGTCCAGGACGGTTGTCCATCTGTCCACCACGACCAACAGGTTGATTATACAAGAGTGACCTTTTCTGAACTCGTGCTGTTGGATAGTTAGTAGTCGCGTAGACCGTCGCACATCATGAGACCCCATAATTTATAAGAGTGTTGAGAGAAGTGCTACTGGTTGGTAGCTTGAAGGTTCTTTGCGTTGACCTCCTTCGAAAATCGGTGTGATGTTGGAAAATCACGCTAATCGATTTCACCAAGGATGAAGCTGATCCCCTCAGTATAGTAGAAAGGACCATATCCGAACCAGAAGTGTCTTTTTAGGTGCTGCATTTTCCGGTACACCAAATCAGCGCTAAGGTTCATAATAACGTCTTGTTGGGTGTCAGGTGAGGCTCTCATCAATATAGTTAGTATAGGCCGTCTGAAATGTTCAAATGTATCGTTCTGTCAGAGGGTCGGTGGTATCACCGTAGTTGTTGGTTGGGACGTTGGGACCTAGCAGTTGGGAAACACCGGTTCTGGCTCGTCGAAGAGAGGCTGCATGGCGTGATAAGCTTTTCAGATTGGAGACAGATTTACCGATAAGCTTTATCTGATACTGAAGCCTGTCTTCTCTTAGTGCATTTGTGCATATATTCCTTGCCTGTTTAAATATCGTGTATGCTCTGTTGTTACCAGATCGTTAGTATTTCGTCCAGTAGTGCTTTTATGGGCTTAGCAAACGAAGAGCACGATTCTTGATGACTGTAGGTTACTTGTAAATTTTTGGGACCGTTTGCGAAACAGGCTGCTTTGTAGCACATACGATAATGTAGAGTAAAATTTTCCATCCACATCAAGTTGATTGTGAAGTGCCCGTTTCACTTGCCGTAGATTGTCCTGTAAAACAGACACACCAAAACGTTTGAAATTCCAGCGTCTGTTGTTAGTAGGATGTATTAGCTCAGTTTCGCTGATAAAACTGGTGGCTATGGTAGCATGATCGCTTTTCTCTAGGGGACTGAGGATTGGGAGGTTGTCAATTAGGAATTCTTCGTTTGTAAATACCCAGTCTAATCGCGACGGTGTCTTACTGTTTCTCCAACGAGTTGCTGACTTGACATTTTCGAATAAACACAGATTTTCAATGAGGTTGAAGAACCGATTTTCAGTGGAGTTGTCATCTCCAGTGTATGTATGTTCAAAGAGATTGACTTTGGGATGATTGAAGTCTCCTCGAATCAGCATGTGAGTGCATCCGAGACAAGTAGAGCGGATAACCACTTCAGCATACGACTGTCAAACTTAACGTCGACTAAGGGCTTCCTGTAGATGAATCCAACTAGACACCTTGAGGTATTAGACAATCTTAGTAAGCATCACACAGATTCATCAAGGTTGATACTCTTGGGTGTGCATCTTATGTACTTCCATTCAAGATCGCATGTACAGGGCAACTCCGCTTAAGATTCCCGCCTTTTTGTCGTTGCAAAACAAGCACATCCCAGGTATTTGGGATATCCATATCAGATGAATGCTGTAAGTATTACAGATATCACACAGCTCATTCATTTTGTTCAGTAAACCCGTGACGTTCATAATTATTCAATTTACACTTTCGACCTGCATATCTGTATGGGCCTTCTGTGAACGGACAGGCAACCCGAGTACACAAGATTTTCCGAGTTGATAATGCCAGTATCCAATATTCAACATCATTATCACGAGCTTGTATAAGCCAATTGATTCATTTGCTCTCGCTTCCTCTTGTTTCAGTACAGTTCCATGCATTTGGTAATGTCCAATGTGTGGTAGTCTAGCCACTTGAGTGCGATAATTCTAACCAGTTTAATAGTTATCTTTGGATCTGTATGTTTTGTTGTTCGAGTGAGTTCGTTTATCTCAAAACAGTGGAGATCGTAGATACCAGCAGCTATCACATTACCAGGAGAGAGGCCAGCCGGTTGTAGTGTTAAATAATAAAATGATAATTCGAATGCTAGGAGAAGAAAGGGGGCAGTGATATGGTGGACTTTAATGTGGGGCTGTGAGTACATTTTGAACAATTCTAAGATCTACTCTTGAATGATTGACCCAAGTTGTCTACTCGAGAAGTAGAGAGTTGAGTTCGACTTGGCTACATTACCCGTGTGATTTAGACTGGTTTCCAATCTCTTTGTAGTTACGAGTCAGTGATCATATACTACTACTATTCTATTAATAAAAAAAATAATAATAATGTTACGGGTGAACTAAAGACATTCGGCTGATTACAACATTTACATTGTATATTCATAATTTTACTGTGTTTTACTCAACTTCTAGACTTGCTTGTTTATATCATTGTTATCGGACATTTTGTTTTCTTTTGTCATTGCTTTGGTACTTGGGGGTTTTGCTCCGGGAACCTAAAAAAATGATGGTTTGTTTGTAATTGTTGTTAGAACGACATTTAGTCGACTATTTGTGAATTGCGTACAAACGTGGTTTCTAAATTGGGGTTTGGTTCTGTTATTTATTTGGGTTCGTAATTTGCAAGTAGATCGATACGCCCTACTTCAATAACTGCAACGAGCAAAACTTGGACATAACAAATAATAATAATTTGTTCTCAAATAAAAGTCTGTTACATGAGGCATGCCAGTTTGCAGACAAATCAAATTGTTACAAAAGATAGTTTTCACTGTGGTGGGCTACTCAGTTAGTTTGATATTTAATAAGGTACATTGGCCATAAAAGTATGAGGGATAACACTTCTCATATATGAATGTAAATAGTATTAGTAAGATCAGTGTTGTCAATATGACAGTTGACAAGCTTTATGGAGGTTGCGTTGCGACGATAGTCGGAAGGCTACGTACTCGTATCACGTCGGGCTCACCAGTTTCGTGCCTGTAAGTAATCTTCGTTTTGGTGATAGTAGAAAACAGACTAGCAGTGAATAGGTCTTTATATAGATCGCGTGGCAGTCACAGTGGAGCCGGGGATTACCTGTTCAAACACACAAAGGTTCTCAACATTTAATACAAGATAATAGGAAATGTAATGTCTATACAAAATAAGGAAGAGAATGGATGCTTCAGCTCTATAGTTTTGACATGCACTTAGTTTTTTGAGGTCGACCCTTAACTAATCAACTTAAGCCGTTACAAATCCATGTAAATTTGGGAGCTTCTATAGACGGTGACCTCATATCTCACTGAAACATCTGAGGCATTAATGACGGCGCGGGACAAAGTCACCCGTTCCATATGTGTTGTTGATGGCATATCTACAGAGGGTTTAAAAAGAGGGTAAGTAAAGGAAAGGATAAGAAACAAATCATGCAAAGTTCATGCACATTTAAAATTGAGTTATTTGTGGTTAAATAGTAAAGGTATGACTACTTGCTCTAATTTTCTGTTGGTAAGGTACTTTTTAGGCAAGAGCATTCTAGTAGGTTAAAGAAAACATGTGTAAATATGGTGTGAATGGACAAAGAACTGTGTAAATGGACGTGGTTCAAAAAGAAGCTGTGAAGTTTTAAAATATAGTACTGAAAACAGTATTCTAATACACAAATGACTATTTCCCTTTATTATTGGAAGCTATTTCAGCTCATTTTTATTTTTATTGACTTTGAGGGGTCATTGGCAGGCTTAGTTTATAGAAAATTGTCTGGTTTTACTTGTAATAGGATTACTAGATAGGAAGTAAAACCAATTCAACGTCACAAATGTATTTTGTATAATAAATTAGCATCCATACCACTGGTTCGTGACATTACACTTGACTATAAGGAGCCG